ACACCCACACACCCACACACCCACACCCCCACACACCCACACACCCACACCCCCACCCCCCCACCCCCACACCCACACACCCACACACCCACACACCCACACACCCACACACCCACACACCCACACACCCACACACCCACACACCCACACACCCACACACCCACACACCCACACACCCACCCACACCCACACCAACACCCACACCCACACCCACACCCACACACCCACACACCCACCCACCCACTCCCGCTCAAAAGTGTAACTCCGAAGTGTCGATCAGAAGTCTTGCTCAAAAGTGTTGCTCGGAAGTGTCGGTCGGAAGTGTTGATCAGAAGTGCCACTCACAAGTGTTGCTCGGAACTGTTTGACAGAAATGTCGCTCAGAAGTGTCGATCAGTGTGGGTCGGAAGTGTTGCTCAGAAGTGCTGATGAGAAGGGTTCCTCAAAAGTGTCGATCAGAAGTGTCGATCAGAAGTGTTGCTCAGAAGTGTCGCTCAGAAGTGTCAATTCAGCAGTGTTGCTCAGAAGTGTCGTTCAGAAGTGTCGATGAGCAGTGTGGATCAGAAGTGTTGGTCAGAAGTGTTGCTCGGAACAGTCGATGACAATTTTGATCAGAAGTGTTGCTCATAAGTGTCAATCAACAGTGTGGTTCAGCAGTGTTCTATCAGAAGTGTCGATCGGATGAAAAGTGTTGCTCAGAAGTGTCGATCAGAAGTGTTGCGCAGAAAAGTCGATCAGGAAAACTGTCGTTCAGAAGTGTTGCTCAGAAGTGTCGATCACAAAGAGTGTGGTTCAGAAGTGCTGATATACAGCGCGCGAGGTACAGGTTTCTGGAAAACCACAACTTTGAAGTGCAAGTCTGGTGCACGAAGTACAGGTTTCCAGCTCCAGCTGGAAAATCGTAACTTTGACAAGTAGTGCGCCAAGTACCGGCTTCCAGCTCCAGCTGGAAAATCACAACTTTGTTGTACAAGTCGAAGTGCGCGAAGGACAGGTGTCTAGCTCCAGCGGGAAAATCGCGACTTTGTAGTACACGTCTAGTGCGCGAAGTACAGGTTTCCAGCTCCAGCTGGCAAATTGAGACTCTGTAGTACAAGTCTAGTACGCGAAGTACAGGTTTCCAGCTCTAGCTGGAAAATCGCAACTTTGCAGTACACGTCTAGTACGCGAAGTACAGGCTTCCAGCTCTAGCTGGAGAATCGCAACTTTTGTAGCACAAGTCTGGCGCGTGAAGTGCCGGTTTCCAGCTCTAGATGGAAAATTGCAACTTTGTGTGCGCAATTGCGCTCGACAATCGCAACTTTTTGCCCCAGTATAGCGCGCAAGTAAAGCACGCGAAGTACAGGTTTTGAGCTCCAGCCCGAAAATTGCAACAGGTTTTCAGCTCTAGCTGGACAGTCGCAGCTGTGTAGCGCAAGTCTAGCGCAGTACAGTTTGCCAGCTCCGGCTGGAAAATCGCAACTTTGTAGTGCAAGTCTAGCGCGCGAAGCGCAGGCGTCCAGCTCCAGATTGAAAATCGTAACTTTGTAGCAACAAGTGGAGCGCGCAAAGTGCAGTTTTACAAGCTGAAGAACATAGTTTGTGCAGTTGGCTTGATTGCGGGCCCCATTGGCTTATACCGAAAAATGTTCTTTCTAATTATTTTCTTGGGCTTGCAAAGTGATGTGCATTCGGGTTCGTGGGCTCTGTCTTGTTTTGCCCTGAACCTCTAAAAGCAGCAATGCTCACATGTACACACAAACGCAAAAACACGCACACACACACAGACACACGCACGCGGCGGGCTCTGGAAATGCCAGGAGAATCCCACTGTGGTTCTGCTCGGCAAGCAGGCGCATGTTTTGCATCCCGGACAGAGCAATGCATTCTGCCATGTTTGTGTGAGGCCATTGACGATGACAGCAATCAGACTGGATCCCTTTTAGCCGGCAAAGACCTTATGTCATGCAAAACATTGTGCAAGGCACACGGAAGAAGTGTCGCCTGAGGCCTTTTGAAATGGCCGCAGGCAGGTTGCGCTTCCAAAGTTGAGGCTGGATGCGGAAGGCATTCATTGCATGGTTCAGAAAAGGGTGTGCGATCTAGGTGGATGAGGGCAAGACGTCCTTGAAAGTCGAGCGGGAGGCCTGTCCTGCAAGATGGGTTGGCATGAATCCCCATCTAAATCCCCGTAAAACGTGGATTTCTAATCAAGGCATGTCCGTTCGACGCGATTCCACGTAAATGCCCACAGCATCCCCGAAGAAATAAGAGCGCCAGGTAGATTCGGGCGTCCAAGAGGTTCAGATCCCTTTGCCCGCAGTCGCCTGCATCCCAGTTCTTACTGCTGCGACTCCATGTCGACCCCACGTGAATCAACCCTGAATGGACCAACTGTGGACAGCAATCCCCGTCCACTTTGGGTCCGGAACCAGTCAAAGGTCACACTTGTGTGTTCACTTGGGGGTGTCCCCCCGGCAAAAAAGTGAAGGAGTCTTTGTTGAATCGGACTTCCGTGAGTACTCAACCAGTTTACTAATCCTAGGGTCCCATAAACCTTTATCCTTTTGGGAAATGACAGTTTCTGAATTAACCAGGACGAGGTTCACTTTTGGGTGTCAGTTCGACCCTTTTCAGAAGCCTCAGCCCAGATCACTGCAGACCTCAGACTGAACGAGCCTCGTCACGAGCTTACATCATGAATCATGAGCCATATTGCAGCGGCATGAGGAAGGTTGGTGATAATTCCCCGACATTTTGTGTGCGTTGGTACTGTCAGTGTGTCAGTGACAGTATCTTTGAGATGCAAGGCTATGCCACACTTCCAAATCTCATGAAAGCCAAGAAGAAGCCGATGGAGGCTTTTTCCTGCCTGCGCACGCTTGCTTGACTATGGGGGTTCCTTTGAGTCCCCAGTGGCTATCTCCAAATCAGACCACGGCTCAAAGACTGAGCCCTGGACCTTTGGCCACCATGACGCAATGGGCCTCCAGAACAGAGACTGCTGTTCAGCAGCCCGCACAGGCGCCTGATCTCACCCTTCCCGACGTGTGGGCGTGTGTGTGTGTGTGTGTGTTGTGTGATTAAGGCTGGTTATGCTGGTTTTCAAAGGGAATGCAAAGGCGAAACCACCATCTCCAAAAGGGTCCCCTATTTTCACACACACACACACACACACGCACCCACATTATGGACCGTTTCATGTGGGTTCCATGCTAGTTATGTTGCCCTCTCAACATTTTACATGAAACCAGACGTTCCGGGGAGTCCTGAATCTGACCATCTTCCTGTTAAAGGGACCGGGTCTCTCGCGTCAGGTTCCAGATAAAAAGGGTGGGAGTTGGTGGGAGGTTTCTCTGAGCCAGGAAGAGATCGCCTTCGGGGCTTTTGCTCCTGCGCGCTGCTGGCAACGCGGCGTCGGCGGCGGGTACCATGACCCGGCGGCATCGAAGAGGTTTGGTGAGCCAATGGAGTTCAAGAAGTGGATGGCCTTTTGGCATGCACCGATATGGCAGCCTTAAGGCGCCCCCTTGATATTGATTGGGGGTGGCCTTCTTTGCTGGGGACTCACCACTTGAGGGGAAGACTCCATAGTAATAAAACCGGTTTATTAATCCGGGTTCAACATTATGCAACATGTCATTGGACAAGCGCAAAATTGTGTTTAGTGCCGAAACCCAGGAGAAATGGACAAAGCCCGAACCGCTGCCCAGTTGGAGGCAAGTGTATGGCAACAGCCGTTGAGAGGCTGTGCGCAATTTTCTGGCAGAATAGCGCGCAAGGCAGACGCGTGACCTTGACCAACCAGACTTTTCAGGGTCAAAGGCGCATCTACTCGAGCCCTGTTTTGATCAGTCAATGTGTGTTCAGTGTTCATCGCTCGAGAGGTTCCAGCTTTGAGCATGACATCCGGAAGCTTTCCACGGGCTGCTTCAACAGGCGCAGTGTGGACGATGGGCACCCAAGACAAACTCCCCTGGTTGATAAATGGGAGAGGGGTATCCCCTACGGCTCTTTTGGTGTTTTAAACATCCCGTTTGCGAACTTAAGCTGAGTTTCCTTTCGGGGGACTTTAAAGGGGAAATATGGGTGCTTCTCAAGAAACGCGGGCCGCTTGCGGTCTGTTTCGTTTCGGTTTCCCTTTGAAAGCCATCAAACGGGGTTCCCCCCCAAGAAAAAACAAGCCCAGAATGTTGTAATTAATCTTTTGCTTTGGAAGGTCCTGGCGTGCGGGAGTCCATTGACTTGGCCTCGGCGAAGGCCAAACCGCGGACGGGTCCGGGGGGATCGGAGCACAGGGGCTCTTAGTTGGTTTTTGTTGGATATCGATGGGTTCCGCTGGTTAGATTCTGGGCTCGATGAACCATTTGCCAGGGAAACCCATCTTTTTTCCAAAAGACCATTAGTTGGAAGGGAGGGGCCGCCGACGCACATTTCCCAGGCCCAGGCCCCGTTGTGTTTTTCTCCCAAGCAAGTCGATTCTGGGGGCTCCAGACCTGGCCGAGGCACGGTCCTCGCTTCGGAGAGCCCCAAAGACGCAGCTCGGCGGGTCCCGAACTGGAAGGGGTTATCATCGGCTCCCAACATCATGGGCATAAAACTAACAAGTGAAACTCATTCGGGTGTGTCCCTTTTGGGGATTCGGCTCCCCCAAAATTGTGGTTTCCCTTTTGGTTTCCCGTTCAAACCACCCAAAAATGGGTACCCTCAAAAAACCCACCCATTTCTGGACCCCAAAACCGCTTGTGACCTGCAAGGTCGGTCTATCCGAACCCCACGGGGTGGAAGCATCAGACGTCCTTGCTGTCCCGAACACCGGGATTTGTAGCTTGGCGGCGGCGTTTTTTTTCTTCTTCTTTTTTGCGTCCCTCTGCGTATGTCTTTTTCAGCCGACCCAGAACGGTGGGGATTTGCTATTTGTTGATGTTGGTTTTCCTCTAAAACCACAAAGGAAAAGGTACCCTCTAAAACCACAAAGGAAAAGGTATCCTGAAAATGACACCCGCCCAAACGTGCCTGAGCCTGGTCAGGTAGGCACTTTGCGAACACGCTGAGCCTGCGCGTCGCAAAGAGTCTAAAGCGCGTTTAGCTTATTCCCTGCGCACTCAGCATCAGGCTGTAGTGAGCATTGGAGTCTTGCATGTGTTTGTAAGTTTCTGATTTGTACATGGACAATGCTGCACTGTCTCACAAGCAGTTATGCTCTAGATAATCACACACCTCTAAGTTGCGTAGCATTGCTGATTCAACTAAACTGGTCACAAGACCGAACTCAGACAACACGAATTCAAGATGATGCAAGTGTCAGCTGGTACTGCCTGGTATGCTTCAATCCCTCGAAGCATCCGGAGCCACGTTATGGCGAGCGATAGAAAAAAGGGATGGGGGTAGGGTGACTTGAAATCGTCGCTTGAGAATTGGCCATGGCCTTGTTCGAAGGTCATCGATGCTGGCTCCTTGGGGGTCGACTTGGCGCCACGGCTGCAGGCTGGGTAGATAGGTCTGGGATTCTCCGTTTGGAAGGGACCATCCGGTCCAAAAAAATGCTTTGGGAATTTTCGTTTTGGTTTTCCTTGTAGAACCCACCACAAAGAGGGTACACCAAGACAAGACAGACCCACCTTGGGGAAGCCAAACGCTGAGCATTGGATACCTGGACAGGTGGTGCAGGTGGAGGAGCCGCCGACGCGCGCAGGTGGCGTGAAGGTGTGGGAGTTGGGGTATGGCGAGTTTGGGGGGCCACCCAGATTTCCCAACAAAGAACCAGGACCAACCGTGGATTTGTAGGAAAGGGAAGGGGCAGAAGGGAAGATGAAAGGGGGAGAAAGTTGCGCCAGGTGAGCAGCGTGGAAGAACTGATTGACAAGCTTAGGAATGAGGCGAAAGTCCTGTGAGCCTGCACAGCTCCCTGGACGCCCCAAACAAAGAGAGAGGTTTTCACCCTTCGAAAGACTAGCATTTCAGCCTTCAGCAGCAGTGAATTTGCTCTTTTTGCCCAACTGGTTCCTTCAGGGAGGCTTAAACAAAAAACTGTCTTGCAGCAAAGTGCTGTCGGAACTTTAGTGGGAGGAGTGTTTGGGCTCGGCTTGAAAAAGGCAATGAGCGCAGCGCTGGCATTGAAGGCGAAGGCAAATTCAATCCAACTCCGTCACAAGAGGAATCGTCATGTCAATGTACGCCTGCTTGCTTGATCAACGGACAACCAGTTGCAGTCCCGCTCAGTCTGGTGAGCTTGTCATTTGTCGCGCTGCGTATCCGACCGCAGCTTGTGCAGTTTCACCCCATCGAACTCCCAATGACTGCCGCAGCAAGCTCAGATGATGGCACTTTGGTATGCTGCAACTCCTTGAGCATAGCTAAGGTTCAAAATGATATGGCATGGAGAAATCAGATGATAACGGAGGTCCAGCCGCTGGACCACATGCCATGAGACATGGGGTGAACCAAAGCTTGAATGCTTGCAAAAGGCGCGCATGTGGGGCTGTTGCAGTCGATGAGTACCCCACGCCAGGATCGATCACCCACTTCTTCCTCTGAGTTGAAGTACTTGTGCCGAAGCCTGACTCTTAGAAGTTGGATGCCAATTGGGGGTTGATCAAAAGGTGCTTTACGTGGGGTGACCGTTAGGGAAACCACCAAAAAAGATGAAAGTCACCACTAAAAGGGAAAAGTCCCCCATGGTCATTTTGTGGCCAGCAAGATTGATCAACCCCCAATTGGGGAAGGTTTACGCCACAGTCAAATTGTGAGTGCCGTAGGGGCCTGATATGGGATAGATCTTGCACTCGCATTTGCTCATAGAGTCACGGTGGACCTCGACCATTCCTTCGCAACTTAGATCCGCTTTCGTGGAATTACGGCACAATTGTCCGAAGTCGAGCAGCTTCATCAAAGGCAAGGCAGAGAGTCAGCAGTCAGTTCAAGCTCTGAATGGAGTGATGCATGCATTGCCTGGCACAACACGATTGGTGGTTTTTTTCATGGGATGTCCACCAAAGGGTCCCGGATTAAAACTCACACCTATTGGTTGGACTGCTGGACTCTTAGACTGCTGTTAAGTTGGGGAACCCATGCTCACTATTTTCTTGGGCTGGGGGGGGGGGCACCTGAGAGCCCTGGCATGTTGGCCACCAGAAGTTCTATGCACTTGAAAAAGATGAACATAGAGGATCTATAGGAGAGGTGTCTTGGGGGACCCCTCCATTTGGTTTGTATCTTAAGTAGAGGCCAGAAGGAAACCGTGGAAACCGTGTGGGGTCCTATGTTGAGAAAGCATCTTAAAGCAACCAGGCTGGTAGAAGCAACCCGCCTGATTCTCCGCATGGAACACGTCTTTGTTTTGGACATTTAGGGATGGTACTGAAAAATGATTGGTGGACAGACATCCCCTTGCACTGATACCACAGGGTCGCCGTTGCATTGCTTTTGACTCACCTTTGATCCTGCCCTTTTGGATGTATCCCATTTTCCTCTGCAACAAGCACACCCCTGCAACAAGCACACTTTTTGCAGGGTGTCCAAGTTTGGCCCAGTTATTCCCCAACAGCTGAAAGCTTTGGGGTCTCAGCCCAGATAGGCTCCGGGGTGGTCCGGACCGGCCCTGAGGTAAGGTTCCACGAGGGTTCCACCAGGGTTCCACCAGATTCTGCGAGGGCTGCTGGGTGGTGCGAGCACTAAAAAGAGCACCGCATGCTGTTGGGGACATCACCTGAGCTTATAATTTTTAGGGGACCCCCAACATGGTGGGTTTCCATTCGGTTTTCCTTTAAACCAGCCACAAAAAGGGTACCCTCGCAAAAAGACACATTCATATCGCTTGGTAGGGTGAACGATGCTCAGTGCAGGGCTCGCTGTCCTCATGCAGTTCCACCGGCCTCTCGAGCCGGGTTGGGCACCCCAGCTTTGCCGAGTGCCACTCGTTTGAGCCACTTGCTCAAAACTCGGGCAAGTGAAGGGGCAGTCCCAGCCAGAAATAGTTGCGGCCTTTTGATTTCCAGTTTCTCAAAATCAGTGTCTCCCCTTTAGAAACCATACCAAATCAGGCCCCTATGTTGTTGGAATGTCCCCCCCGCTCACTACGTCTGAAATGTGGTGAGTTTGGCAGCTTGGCAGACAACTTCCAGCTCCTTTCGGTCTGTTGGCTACTCTTCCCTCTCGAAATCGCGGCTGGGGTCTCAGCACAGCAAATGAGTCGCTGACAAAGTTGCTGGAAGTGTATTTGTTTGGGGAGGACATGAGGATACCAAAATTCTTCGTGAAAATCAGGGCTGTCCATGAGTAATTTGGCCCAGGGCTCAAATGCAACAGCGCTGTAGGTCAAGCGCTTTGTCTTCGGTGCTGCCAGCCTGTTTGATCGTAGCTGCCGTGATGTCAAGGTTTCTTCCTGTTTGCTTCCGCGTTGCATGCTGAGGAGTTGGAAGGTGAGCGCAAGATCAGGGAAGCCATGGAGCGGGAAGTCGCCGACTTGGACCAAAGTCGTTTTGTGAAGTGAAACCATGCGGTGACAATGTGTTGGTGGAAAGCATTAGGGTTTGTCTCAAAATAGGGAACACGCAAAATGGTGTTTCTGCCTTTGGCTTCTCTTTAAACGCACACACGCACAACACCAGTACCTTCAAAAAAGACACCCTCATTGGCATGTCTGTCTAGTGAGCATTGGAGAATTGCGTTGCAGGTGGCCGAGCTCAGAGCAAAACTTGAGCGTGCGGATCCCTCACGAATGCCACCAGAGCCCAAGCCGCATCATGATCTTGTTTTTGGCGCACGAGCAAGTTACAGTTGCTATGTCGTTCCCCCAAACAGCTTGGCTCTGGGGGTTCTCTATTCATGCAAAGGATTGCTCCCAGTCACGAGCCGGTTTGGCCCCAGTCCCCTGTTGTCTCCCCAGTCGTCTGCCCACGACTCTCCCCACCCCACTCGTCTCCCTGCTTGTGCTTGTGATGCTTGTTAACTCGGACCTTGTCACGGCTTGTCTCCCCACTTGTCTCCCCACTTTCCCTACTGGCTCTTGTTGACTCGGACCTTGTCACGGCTTGTCTCCCCACTTGTCTCCCGACTTTCCCTACTTGCACTTGTTGACTCGGACCTTGTCACGGCTTGTCTCCCCACTTGTCTCCCCACTTTCCCTACTTGCACTTGTTGACTCGGACCTTGTCACGGCTTGTCTTTCCACTTGTCTCCCCACTTTCCCTACTTGCACTTGTTGACTCGGACCTTGTCACGGCTTGTCTCCCCACTTGTCTCCCAACTTTCCCTACTTGCGCTTGTTGACTCGGACCTTGTCACGGCTTGTCTCCCCACTTGTCTCCCCACTTTCCCTACTTGCACTTGTTGACTCGGACCTTGTCTCGGCTTGTCTCCCCACTTGTCTTCCCAACTTGTCTGCCTGCTCGTTCGCACCTTGTCACGGCTTCTCTTCCTATTTTCTCCCCACTTCACTCCTTGCTTGCGCTTGGTGACTCGGACATCGTCACGGCTTGTCTCCCCATTTGACTTGTCGCCGCGCTTGTCTCCCTGCTTGTGCTTTGTGACTTGGATGCTTACCTGGCGCGCTGTTTGTTTTTCATGACACTTTACTTGCGTTTTAGTATTCCATGACATGGAAAACAAAGCTGCGACAAGACTTGACGACAGTAGTTTGCTACCCCATGGGTCGTCATGGTCCCCGGTTTTGACCATCTGTGGTCCAATTGAAAGAGTGATGTGCGAAAGTTCAGTTTGGGGTCGGTCACAGTTTTTATTGGGGGATGACCACCTAGATGATACCCAACTGATAAAACACTGGTAGCTTGTCTTTTCGGCCTGCGGCCTCTAGCCGGCTACGCCTCTTTGAAGTTACACCATGTCATGTCATGTCATGATTTTTGTATGAGAAACATATCCTGTGCTATGATATGGCTGGTTAGGTTATGCATGTTGCCCCCTCCAACCCAGCCCGCAAGCCAGCCCGGAAACGCAAACGACAAAACGCCGTAAATACAGTAAATAGCAGCGTTTTGTGGCTGGGCTCGCGCGCGCTCGCGCGCGCCAGAAGGCCTGAAAGCCAACGGGAAGAAAGTAAGGACCGCGCAGTAAGGGAGCCAGCCACAACAAAAGAAAAACGGACAGAACAGCAGCCCAACGCTCAGCACAGCAGTTGTTGACGGTATTTACGGCGTTTTGTAGAGCGACCCAGCATCGCCGGCATGCCCGGCAGCGCTTGGCACCAACACGCGCGAAAAAGAGCCTTGCTTATACCCCTTCGGTACCTTCTAAAAACCAGTGCTTCATGGGTTGAGAGGCTTTTGGAAGGAAGTCTCGATGATGCAGACCAAGCCCCGCTGAAGCATCACCCAGGCCCAACCCCAGACCCTGATGATGTCAGTCACACGGCCTAAACCCTGCAGAAACACGATGTGTTGCGAGGGTTTCCCACATGCAAGCAAAACCGCAAGCCCGAGCTGGTGATGGCAACGCATCACGACCAAGTGCTGAGGGTCGGCGGCACACGGGCGCAGCCCCTATAGCTGAAGCTAGCAGGCAAATTGCCTAGCGGCGACATGCTACCCCAGGAGACGTAGCCGGATTTAAGGGCTGCTGCCCGGCACCGCCGACCCCAACTAGGTCACCGAGGTTGGGCCGCCAAAAAGCCGCGTTTATCGTTTTCTGCGACCGGTTTTTTTCGGTCCCTGTGGCCGGCTTTTTTCCCACCAGCCGCGGGCTGGTTTTACTGTTCCCTCTGGCTTTTACAGTTCCTTGTGGCCGGTGCTTTTTTCCCACCAGCTGGCTGTTTTTACCGGTCCTTGTGGCCGGTTTTTGTTCCACCAGCCTTCGGGCTGGTTTTCAGACACCGAACATATACGAAAATACAAGGCTAAACTCTAAACTCTCGCGATTTTGTTTATGCGTTTGAAGCACCCCCGTGTTTTTTTTACAGTTTCAGGCTTGCTCATTGCTTCGACATGCTTGACCAAGTATGGTGTTTTACCCAGTAAACCTAATGACATCCATTTGATTGCAAATTGGTAAACCCTTGCTTTCAACGATTCGGCGCATCACCATTTGAACCAACTCTGATGCCAACCACCTGCAAAATCAGACATCCCAAAAGCAAAGTTTTTGGTGCTAGTCAGGCCCCTCGCGGTCAGAACTGCACACTTTGCAGCCTCTGGCCAACATTTAAATTTGCAATCCGTCAGGCCTAGAAAAGCCGAGTTTCAGGATGCAGGTTCTGGGTTGTTTGTTTTGGTTCACTAGCTTTGGGTTGCCTGATTTCGATTGCAGAATCCCTAACCAAAATCAGTCCATTGTTGCTCGCTCTTGTGTGAGATGATGACGATGTTGATGATGGTGATGATGATGATGATCACGATGATGATGATGATGCTGCTGCTGCTGATGATGATGGGGATGGATGGATGACGATGAGGAGGATGATGTATCACTTCCATCCCCAGCATCTCTTGCAGAAACAATGCTGATAGTTACCGTGTAATTGGCTTGCGCACCATGTCTGCTACTGCGAAAATTTGGTTTGCCTGATTTCGATAATACATCCCTAACCAAAATCAGTAGAATTTGGGTTGCCTGATTGCGATTGCAGAATTCCTAACCGAAATCAGGATAATTTGGGTTGCCTGATTTCGATCGCAAAATCTTTAACCAAAATCAGGATAATTTGGGTTTGCCTGATTTCGATCGCAAAGTCCCTGACCACAATCAGTGCATTGTTGCTCACGTGTGAGATGATGACGATCATGATGATGCTCATGATGATGGATGATCATGATGATGCTGATGATGGATGGATGACGATGAGGAGGCTGATGCTGATGCTGATGATGATGAATCGAGATGACAAGCATCCCTATGCATCCTCAGCACCATGAGCAGGCATGATGATAATCATGTCCACGCCGAAGAAGATGATGATGATGCTGATGATGATGAATCGATATGCCAGCAGTCATGATGAAAATCATGTCCGCGCATCTTTTGCATCTCAAATCATCACTATTCATCCTCAGCATCGCCAGCAGTCATGATGATAATCATGACTACGCATTCCGCATCTCGAATCGGGTCTAACTGGACACTTGAAACGTACATCAAAAAGATAAGGACGATGACGAAGAAGATGATAATGATGAGCACCATGATGATGACGCTAATGATAATGAATCCATATGAGATGATGCTGATAATGATGAACAAACACTATGCATCCTCAGCATCACCAGCAGTCATGATGATAATCATGACAACGCATTTTTTGCATCTCAAATCGGATGATAATCATCACTATGCATCCCAGCCGACATGATGATATTCATGACTACGCATCTTCTGCATCTCCAATCGGGTCTAAAAGGAGACTTGAAACGTACGTCAAAAAGATAAGGACGATGACGAAGAAGATGATGATGATGAGCACCACGATTATCATGATGCTGATGATGATGAATCAATATGACAATCATCACTATTCATCCTCAGCATCACCAGCAGTCATGATGCCAATCATGTCCACGCATCTTTTGCATTCCAAATCAGATGATAATAATTAGTATGCGTCCTCAGCATCACCAGCAGTCATGATGAGAATCATGACTACGCATCTTTCGCATTCCAAATCAGATGATAATAATTAGTATGCGTCCTCAGCATCACCAGCAGTCATGATGATAATCATGACTACGCATTCCGCATCTCCAATCGGGTCTAACTGGACACTTGAAACGTACATCAAAAAGATAAGGACGATGATGAAGAAGATGATCATGATGAGCACCATGATGATGATGCTGATGATAATGAATCAACATGATAATCATCACTATGCATCCTCAGTATCACCAGCAGTCATGATGATAATGTTGACGCATTTTTTGCATCTCAAATCAGATGATACTTGCAGACAAGGGGTCGGCGGACATGGGCACTAGACACCTCAAGTACCAAGGACAGGTGTACCGCCATGGATCCAAACGCTTTGTGTATCTCTATGTTCTACGGATTTTAAGAGTTGGAACCACCTTAAAAGTCGTGGGTGGACATGGAACCCTACCCAAATGATGTCCCGCAATAGAGTTCACACCCACATCTCTTTCAAATCTTTGGCACATCACCCGTTAGTTTGCAACCTGGTTTTGTTGATTCGTAATTGACAGACCCCTGTGCTCTCTCTATGTGTTATGCTCGGCTGAGAGTCGTTACGGATCGAATTGCCTGCAGCTTTCAGGTAGGTAATGGAATGCATTTTCACTCCGCATGCACCTCTTGCAGGAACGATGCCGAGCATGAGAGATAGGGTCAGATATACAGATGTTAGTTGTCATGTACTCGGCTTGCGCACCATGTCTGCCACTGCGAGAACTTGGGTTAGCTGATTTCGATTGCAAAATCCCTAACAAAAATCAGGAGAATTTAGGCTGCTTGATTTCGATTGCAAAATCTCAACCAAACTCAGGAGAATTTGGGCTGCCTGATTTCGATCGAAAAACTTCAACCAAAATGAGGAGAATTTGAATTGCCTGATTTCGGGTGCAAAACCCCTAACCAAAATCAATGAATTGTTGCTCATTTGTCAGAGGATGACGATGATGACGATGATGATGATGATGATGATGATGGATGACGATGGATGTCAATGAGGATGCAGATGATAATGATTATGATGACGATGATGATGATAATGATGATAATGATGATGATGCTGATAGATGATCGTGATGATGATGGTGATGGATGGATGACTCAATGATGATAAGGAGGATGATGTATTACTACGCATCCCCAGCATCTCTTTGCAGGAGCGATGCCGAGCATGGGAGATGGGGTTGTATTTGATAAGTGTTAGTTGCCATGTAATTGGCTTGCGCACCATGGCTGCCACTACGAATTTGGGTTGCCTGATTTCGGTTGCAAAATCTCAACCAAAATCGGTGCATTGTTGCTCATGTGTGAGATGATGATGATGATGATGATGATGATGATGATGATGATGATGATGGTGGTGGTGGTGGTGGTGGTGGTGGTGGTGGTGGTGGTGGTGGTGGTGGTGGTGGTGATGGTGGTGGTGATGATGATGTGGATGATGCTGATGCTGATGATGATGCTGATTTCGATTACACAATCCCTGACCAAAATCTGTGCATTGTTGCTCATGTGTGAGATGATGATGATGATGATGATGATGATGATGATGATGATGATGCTGATGATGATGATGATGATGATGATGATGATGATGATGATGCTGATGCTGATGCTGATGCTGATGCTGATGCTGATGCTGATGCTGATGCTGATGCTGATGATGCTGACGCTGCTGATGATGATGATGATGATGATGATGATGATGATGATGTTTCCTTGGGGAAGCAAGTAGCTTTGTCCAAAGCTCGCGTGTAAAAGCGGCCAGTTGGATATATGATATAGTAGAGTTGCTGGAATCGAGATAGAGATGCTTGAATCTAAGGCCGGAATTGCTTCAAAGATCAAGCTGAACAGCACCAAGCCCTGCTGGTCTCAACTGACAGACCGGAGCGAGGCGCAGTGAGCGACAGCAAGCTACTCTGTTTCAGATCAGCTCAGTGCGAGCGAACCCTTCTGTAGGAATGTCCACATCTGATGGACAGGAGTGGTTGTTTGTGCATGATGCTTGCCAATCGGCACGTTAAAAAGGCAGATACCGCAGCCCTGGACTTTTGGCAGAGCTCTTTTGTGTATGACTTTTTTTAAGGGGGGACTTGTTGGTGGACATCATTCAGGCGGGGGCTTCCACTTTTGAGGGGGATTCCCATCAAAACTCACTGCCACCGAAACTCTGAGGGCTGCTCAAGTGGCCACGCTTGAACTGCTAACAACATTTCGGATTGCACGAGTCCATCAACATTTCAGCTGAGTTGCTATCCTGACCGGTATGAGGCTCACATTTCCATACCTACCCTCTCAGATGATTTCACGCGCTCAGACAGGATCGCCCTTAAACATCTGCCTTCTGCACGCGTTTCGGCTCGAAAGTTCGAAGCCAAAGACTATGACAGCGCCAGCAGAGGATCGCACGGTGTAGCTACTGTTCTTTTTGTGTGTGTGTTTCCTTTTTGAGGATCTCATTTGCAGGCTGATTTAACGGGACACCGCAAGTCAAATCTAACTTTTCAGGGTCCCCGTTTTGGCCGACAGATCCACTTGCACAGGCAAACCATGCCCATTTGACAGATCGATGTTGACATACCCTATTTGCGTGTACCCTTTTTGGGGTTGATTCAGAGGGAAACCAAAGGGAAACCACCCCATGGGGGTTTGACACATTTCATTTGACGCAGGAGGATGCTGGCGACGCCGGCGCCCACAAAGCGCTCCTCCAGTTTGCCTCCTCTGCGAAGGACAGGGAATCTTACCGCGAGGATCAGTCAAAACCAAGTGGGATTGTATTAAAATGGGCATGACCCAAAATTGGGGAGCCCAAATTTTTGGTTTTCTTCAACCTTGAAAGGGTACCCTCAAAAATGGCACACCCCCTTTAGGGGACTTCCTTCTAAACCATCCCAGTCTGAAATTCTCAGCAAATTCTTAAGCTCATCTCGATTTAAAGTCCATTGTTGGTTTCGGGGAATGGGGGGGGTCCCACCCAATTTTCCCTCAAAATTGGGGGGCCAGGCCAATTCTTCCATGTTTTGGCGGGGAAACACGCATATGAAAACATATGTTTTGTGCGGATAGTCGATTCTTGGGAGCTGACTTTGGCCGCTCTGCTTTGAAACGAATGACCCTGGGCATGAGGTAGGGACGCTGTCAGAAGAAGCTCTTTCCGAGGAGCTGGAAGGCAGGGTGGCAAAGTATGTGTACTGCTTTGTGCGATTCTTGCAGCCAGGCATCATTCGAAGCCTTGCTGATAATGGAGCTGCACTTGCCTCAGTGTGTGCATTCTTTTTTTGCAAAGCAATCGCCAATTTGACGAATAGCGAGTCTCTCAAATAGCGTCGAGCCTTGATTCAAGATCAAACCATCCTTCCTGGAGTCCCTTGAGCACACGGACATTTTTTTTCTAAACACTGTTTCCGACCCAGTTTCTGATTCCGACCCAGTTTCATGCAGATCGCAATGGGGCCAAGTGACATGGAGCCAGGCTGCATGCTACCCGTGGGATGCTTTGCGGATACTGCTGGCGCGGGGCTCAATCGCAGCGAATGTTGGATCGGTTGGTTTTGAAGGGACATCAACTGGAAACCAACGGCTTTTTCGGGCCCCTCATGTTGCGGCAAGCCCATCTGAGAGAGCGTCACTGACAATACTGTTGGTACCCTCTCAAAAGTCATGGAAGAAGAGGGGCCCCTTGAAAGAAAAGAATAGGTCTTCCAGTCTCTTTCAGGCCTCAAAATGAGGGGCCTCAAAGAACGGTTGGTTTCCTGGTCCCTTCAAAACCAAGCGATCATCTCTGTTTCTGCACGGAGGTGACAAAGCTGGAGAAGGTTCTGGCAGATTTCTGGCACGAAGCACCAGATCTGAAGCTGCGTGAAGGCCTGGTTTCTGCCGTTTCCACCGCAACGACCTGCAAAGAGATGGGCGTGCCGTTGTTTGGAGGCAGCCCCTGTTTTTGGGGGCTTAAAGGGAAAAGGCTTTGGAAACCGACGCACCTCGGCTTCCGATTCCAAAATTTCCAGGCCACGCCTGAGTCCTCTATGAGCTTTGGTTTTGCTTGTGGATCTTTGGCGGGAAGGTCACAAGCGAAGGTTAGGTACAGTCCCCTTGCCATAAATTGGTGCGGATATCCGCGTTCTTAGCTCTTGAAGCATTTTGGATGGATCATGGAGCAAATCCGATGGGTTTCGATTGCCACCAGCCAGGTGAGACCTTCGATGCTGCAGTAGAGCCGCTGAAGCGCTCGCTGTTGGAGCCTAGACGAGAAGGCAGGGCCTCAGGACCTCGCGGGTCAAAAGGCGGAAGCAGCCCCAACATGGCTTTCCTCACCTGGGCTCCTGGACTTCAAACTGCAACTTGTTGGGAAGATCGTTTCAGGATTTGTTTCCGGTCAATCAACTCAGGAAGTGATTGTCCCTTTCGTTTTTTGAGAAAACCAAGCTGACAGTACCCTCAACAAAGACAACCCCAGCACCAGGCCAAGTAATTTGCATGTACGCCAGGTGCTCCTTGGACCACTCAGCGCCTTTGCGAGCTCTTGGCCGAGCCTCGAAGTGGCTACAAATCCACAAGGACTTGCAGGGTTCGCACATGGTGTGGTTCTCCGAGTTTTTGCGGGAGAGTGCTAGAGCCTCTTTTCTGGGGTTCGAAATGGACACTTAAAGGAAGCCTCCAATCTGTTGGGTGTCCACGAGCCTTTCAAGCGTTCGTACGGTGATGAATCCCAACTGTGGGTGCTTGCGCCGACCTTGACCGCGAGGAAGTACATGTATGCACTTCAGCGTGCCATTCTGATAACAACCACGGAGGAGGCAACTTGGAAGCAATTGCCATACCTGCCATGGTCAAAAGTGGGTAGACACCCGTCACAGAGTTGTCACAATGAGCGCCATACAAATGCGGCACTCAATGACTGAGGCACTGGCCCCTCGTTCGGCTTTCCAGCCTAGAGGCAGGAAATCACGGTGTCAAATTGTGTCCCATGGGCTTTGTCTGTCCTCGTTTGAAGAAAAAGTACGTCCAGCGCCTCTCCAAATGACCACACAATACGGGAAGTGTGTGTGTGTGTGTGTTTGTTTGTTTGTTTGTTTGTTTGTTTGTTTGTTTGTTTGTTTGTTTGTTTGTTTTGTGTGTTTTGTGTGTTTGTGTGTTTGTGTGTTTGTTGGCTTGTTTGTTTGTTTGTTTGTTTGTTTGTTTGTTTGTTTGTTTGTTTGTTTGTTTGTTTGTTTTGTGTGTTTTGTGTGTTTGTGTGTTTGTGTGTTTGTGTGGTTGTTTGTTTGTTTGTTTGTTTGTTTGTTTGTTTGTTTGTTTGTTTGTTTGTTTGTTTGTTTGTTTGTTTGTTTTTTTGTTTGTTTGTTTGTTTGTTTGTTTGCTTGCTTGCTTGTTTGTTTGTTTGTTTGTTTGTGTGTTTGTTTGTTTGTTTGTTTGTTTGTTTGTTTGTTTGTTTGTGTTTGTGTGTGAGTTTGTGTGTCTGTGTGTCGTTGTGTGTGCATTGTGTGAATGTGTGTTTGTCTGTCTGTGTGTCTGTGTGTCTGTGTGTCTGTGTGTCTGTGTGTCTGTGTGTCTGTGTGTCTGTGTGTCTGTGTCTGTGTGTCCGTGTGTGTGTGTGTGGGTGCTTGTCTTTTTTAGGGGGACTCCCGAAATGGTGGGTTTCCTTTTGGTTCTCCTTTTAACCAAGCCTAAAAAAGGATACCCTCAAAAAAGGAACCACATCCAAGTGGCCCTTTGAGGGTTCCACTTTTTACTTGCGGTTCGATGGCTCAGGTGCTCTCATTGAGACCGGCGTGCAGGTGTGAACCGATCGCCGTGAACCGGGGTTGGGGGTTCGGTGATGCCAAAAAACCACCCCAGTCATTTGGAGCATTTGTCATTTGCAGGGAATGGACATTGGGACAGAAGTTGATGTGCAAGCAAGTGCAAGTAAGTGAGAGATGTTCCCAAAAGTGAAGGACCCCTGTTAGTCCTCAAAATTCTAGTGGAGGTTGGATCCAGCTTGGGTTTTTGGTTTGAAGCTATCCAACAAGTGGGACAATGATGTCGTCTTGGCCAGGGAACAGTCGCGTCAGAGACGACTACTGCAGCGGCACTGTCGGCAGCAGCTACTCTTCCGGAGGCTGAAGGCTTCGACGAGATGATTTTGGATGCTGGGTGCGTTCCGTTTTCTTGAAAGGGAAGCCAACTGAAGAATCCACGATTCAGTAGTCCTTCTCAGGTCAGTTTGGTTACCCTTCTGTCCACAAACATGAAACCCACCAGAGGGTCTCTTCCAGGACCCCTGGTTCTGGTTCCATGGCAGTGGGCAGTTTTGTTATTTCGCTTACCAGCGCCATTCTATTTTCGCAAAGACGAGGGTTTCATTTTGCGCTTCACGACGTGCTTCGGCGTCACTCGCAAGGCGCGCCCGTGGATGCTTCAGAGGTGCAAGAGGCGGATGAATCCACGGCAGAGGCGCCTGGTCTTGCATGGAGTTTTTCGTGATTGGGCCGCGGGCAACTCTGTTTCTTAGAGTTGTTGCATTTTGAGGGGCTGTCCAAATTATTTGTTGGGTGGTTTCTGGTTTAAACCACAATTTAGAGTGCAAATGATGTTACTTTACTCAGGCAATCACACAAGAGTTGCTCAATCCGAAGAGATCGCCGCGTAATTGGATGATATACCGCACTGGTGCTTCAAGTCTCTCGCTTCTTTGCTGTTCTCTCGTCAGAAAAGCAAGCTCGGCAGGTGTCTACACCTGCTGGTCGCAAGCGGAAGCTGCCGGAGGAGCATTACCTTAGGGCCGGACAACATGGGTATGGGTGGTGGGATTCATGGGATTTGATGGTGATGCCACGGAGCTATTGCCGGTAAGATGTGGGTTTGATTCAAGATAGGAAAGCCCAGTTTTTGGAAAAAACACATGCTAAGTCGACATGTTTTTTGCAAGGCTACGCATCTCAGATGCAGGAGCTGTCAAATGGAGTCGTGGAGGAATAGCAACCTGACGTTGCCAGAACATCTGTACAAAGCAGTCCTGCCCTGTGCAAGCAGGGTAAAACCACACAGGACAGCGGACACAGTTGCAGTCAGTGATCAGTTGAGGCAGTGCCAAAGACCTGTGCCACGGAATCTCATCTCAGTTGTCCACATCGTGAGTTTTGAGAATCGCAACTCCGACAATGAATCGAATCCTTCGGCAGATTGCCGCCAGGACAAAAGAGCTAAAGTTACATGAAGCCGGAATGCATGCATCGTAAGGCGTCCTGTTCAAATCAGTTTGGCTGAACATGGCACTGGTTCTGAGCTGGTATCAATCATGTGCCATACCTTTTTTTTCCAACAGGACACCTGCCATGCTGCTTTTCAGTGCGATCCCTGCTCTCAATGTCGCAACATGTGGCTCAGCCGGAATCATCCGTCCACTCAACCTGGCCTATGAGTTTGAATGGGGATTGAACTGTCCATGTCCAGTTCTCCGAGATTCAGACAATCATCCATTTTGATACTGAAAATTCATACCCTCAAAGCGCGCATTCTGAGTGGTCCTCCAGAAACAAATCTTCAAAGCAGTTTCCCTAGCAAAGCAGAGGGCAACATTCTGCGAGCATGTCACGATCCTTTGATCTACGCGAAATTTTACCAATGTGTCGCCATGAAGAGCCTGGCGAAATCAGTCTTAGATCTTGGCGTGCCGCGCTCGGGGATTTGGACATGCTTTGGGCATGCTTTGCGAATCAATGGAACGATCCTGTAATCGAAATGTGGGAGTGTCGTTTTTGAGGATTTCCAACATGGTGGCTTTCCTTTTGCTTTTAAAACCACCAACAAAAAGGGGCCAGAAAATAGACACCTCCATGTGGGTAGTCTACCCCAGGACGGATGGTTTCTTGTTGGTTTCCGTTTTGGACACCAAACGTTTGGATGCTACCCTTGCATCTTTTGCCCGAGGCTCCGTACCTGGGCTGCCAGATGTTTGTGAAGGCGCTGATCTTCCGATGCTTTGACCAAAAATCGGTGGGGGGGGGGTCCTTTAAACCATGAATAGCGTTTATTTGTATTTTATAACACATTTCTGTCATATACACACCCACATATCTATCTCTCTATATTTTTGTACATGTAGCTATGTTAATATGGTTGTCCTTTTGATTTTTCTTCAACTTCAAAAAGCAAGGTGAATCTGGGTACCTCAAAAGAAATCACCCATTTGGCATCGTACAGGTTGCCGGGCTGGCTTGCATCTATGTCCTGAGTGACAAATTGGCGGGAGTCCCAGGTGAGGTTCTGCCTGAATTGCTCAGTCTGTCGTTTTCAAATTTGGAAGGGATGTCTGGGGGACGAGCTGAAATTTCGATCATTTCCGGAGGACTCTTGAATTTGCTCATGTCCGTCGAAACATTTTTTGAGCCTGGCTCATGGATGCAAGAAACGGATAGGGCACTGGAGGGTCGAATCAAGGCACAGTCGCTCGCGTTGCTGGCAGCTCTCTTCACGCTTCTAGATATCGCTGGAAGCTTAGAGTCAGACAAAAGCTTAGATTCTCGCACCTCACTTTGGAGCTCCATTTTTTGTCACAGGTTTGCAGCTTGTGGTCGCGCACCTTCTGGCCCGGCGTCCCTGAGGTGATTCGAATTGCAGCTTCAAGAGATTGCAAGTTTGCGCTCTCGAAGCACGGCCTCGCTCCTAAGAATCCGGTCGAGAACAGTTTAGCGCCCCACACCCTATGGAACATTTTTGGGGGGGTTCTACCTGGTTTGGTGGGAGCTAAAGTGCCGTTTCGATACCCTGTAGAACCTTTCAGTCAGCATTTTGGCATTGCCCTGCGGCTGACGCATGAGAGAGAGAGAGAGAGAGACAAGGTGCGGACCTGCTTCTCTTCCTTCTGTTCTTTCTTGACGGCAGCTTGGCGTGGCGTGAGTTGGACCAAAACCTGTGGGTGGGTGTCTCGCTTTTCTCTTTGTTCTGTGAGAGAACCCTTTTGCATGTCGTTTAAAGGGAAGACGCAAGGACCACCATGTTGGATGTTTTTGACATACCCGCGGTGAACTTGGGCAGATTTTTGTGTCAGACAGTTTCCAGCATGAGGCCTTCTGTGCTTCGACGCTGTTGCGAGGCGAGGGATGCAGTCTGGGTAGTTCTCATTGAGTCGCGATCTGGGCATGCCCATTTTTTCACCTCCCTGTTAGTTTCTTTGCGGCCCTGGCTTTTGTGGCCCCCTTTTGAGGGTTTCTCAAAGGCCAAAAGGAAAGCTTTTGTGTGTGCGTGTTTTTTTTGGGGGATGTCCCAAATTGGTAGGTTTTCTTTTGGTTTGCCTTCAAAGCTAACAAAAAGGGAACTCAAAAGAAGACAGACAAATTTGAAAGAAAGAGCCACCACCCATTTTGGAGACTTCAAGCGCTCCACCCAGGCCAAGCTGTAGAGCCTTGCGTCTGGCATCGAGCTCGGCATGCCATCTGGGAGTTTCTTGTGATCCATCAAAACTCCCTGTGCCATGGTGTTGGTTGTTTTTTCTTGCTCGACAGCCGTTTTCAAGCGCTGCATGACCCAAGGTCCTGCCCTTCGCCGTTTTGGTGAGCGTTGGAGGGAGGCTCAACGGCATTGAAGGTGTGACGACCTCTATGTCCTTTGCGGCCAACTTTGAGTCCAGACAAGCATCTAAGGAACATGATGCGATTGACCAGAAAGCCAAAACCTCCAGGCACGCTTGCTGGTCGTGTTTCAAAGGCTGGTAAGATGACCACATACTCTGGATGTACTACGGATGACATGCAGACGCGAAGAGTTTGCTAGGCTCTTCACGGTCGTTGCCTCTTAAGCCGTTGAGAAGATCATTCTATTGAGGAATGCTGGATATCCTATCCGGATGGAAAAAGCGTAGCGCATTGTGTTTGTTTGGCCTTCAAACAGCCTGAAGCGATTGTTGAATACAAAGGTCGACAGGTGGCTCTTTGGGGTCAGCATGGTCGGAAAAACTATTGGTTCCATCGAGAAGCATTGGCAGCGATGCTTGTGGCAACATATTGTATGCCCTCACTCCGACTACCATGGCACCTGCCAGAGGATCCCTACAAGAGGAAAATTATCTTCCAGGTACCCTCCCACAGGTGCTATGTTATTGGGCGGGAGGGCAATATTTTGCACTCCATTAGATTTCAGTTAGTCAGCAAGACAAACCACCAGTGCACAAGACACGCGGAGGCGATCAAGAAGGTGAGATGACGGTGGTTGGAGGCGGCGGCTGTAGAGAAAGTGACGTTGATTCGACCATGGTGCTGGTGGGTACACTGGGTACACCTATTATATTGTTCAGACCTCTAAATTCCAACTTTGGGATCGAATGGCACTTCGCACTTTTCACACGAGTCGGCAGCTGGACTGGCGTGCAACTGGAACCAAAGAGAGAAGTATCTGTTTATCTTTTCTATGAGGTTGGGAGTTTGTCAGCACAACGCCGCTGAAGCATCGCGATGTCCAGCTACAGGCCATTACAGGCCATCCAAGTCTTGCCCAAGAGGGCCGAATAGTCGAAGCACTTTGTGATTGCCGTGCAATCCCAGCCCCCCCCCCCCCAGGCAGCAGCCTTCATGTGAACCCGTGAATCTAGCGGATTGTCCGACTGGTCCGCAAGATTTGAATTTAAGGTTTAGATAGGACCTACCAGAATCTCGAAAACGAATGAGCCCGAGCATGCTACGCAGAATGCTATGCATGCTGCTCCTTGTCGGAACGGGTCAGGCCTTCGCCAGCAATCTGACTTGGCAGCTGGTTGCTTCAGGACATGGCTCCACGAGCCAAGTCGCTGCAGCCACCTTGGGTCCAACGGACCGCGAGGAGATGGTGATCTACGGCGGGCAAAGCCAGCTCTGGCGCTTGGACCTCGAGGCCGGGGCCTGGCAGAGCCTCGCGGCAGCAGGCAGCGGTCCCAGCGGCTCCCGGTCCTACATGGCGGGCAGCCGGACGCTTGGAGAGCTCATCTACTTCGGGGGCAGCAACGATGCCGGCGTCTTCCGGCTCAACGCTTCAATGACTTGGGTGCAAGTGGCCCTCACGGGCCCAAGCCCCAGCAACCGCTACCGCCACACTGCCGTGAGGCTCTCTGACGGCAGCCTCCTGATCTATGCGGGCTTCACCTTCAGCAGCCAGCCGCTGGGGGATGTCTGGAAGTTGATCTTTACTTCGGAGGCTGAGGGCTTTTGGCAGGAGGTGCAAACGTCCGGCGGGGGTCCGGGGCCACGTTTGGGGCCTGCGGGAGTCGCGGGGGCTGACGGCAACTTCCTGACCTTCGCAGGCCACGAGGCCACTTGGATAAACAGAGTCAGTCTCAATAACTTAAGCACGACTCTTGGGTTTGGTGAGCGCTGCATTGACGCACCTGCACCTGCCACCCACAGCCATCCCAGGACTGGGGCGAATTCTTCGATGACGTTTGGCGGTTGACGATCAATGGAACAACCGGAGTCTGGCAGTTGGTGGCAGTCTCTGGCCCGACGCCCGGCGTCAGGACCTTCCCTTCCGCCGTGGCGGTCCCGGATGGCATGCTGATCTACGGGGGCTTCAACGACCAAAGCGGCCATGCGCTGAAGCAGACAGCCTACAACGACGTTTGGCACATGGCCATCAACGGGAACACGGGAGTCTGGCAGAACCTGGAGCCCGCTGGGTCGAAGCCCGGCGCTGGGTCGCACTCCCAGGCGGCGGTCCTCTGTGGCGTGGGGCTGATTGTGACCATCGGCACCAGCACCCACAAGCTGAACTGGCCAACCGGGTGCCCTCCGGGCTATGCCTGGCAGGCCGGTCACTGCCTGCAGTGCCCCGATGGCTTTGAGAGCCCCGGGGGCTGTAACCTTTGCCAAGCTTCGGAGCCTTCGGAGCCTTCGGAGGTCTTGGCCAACCTCTCCACCCCCAGCCTCGAAATCTCCTTCTTGGATGAAGAGGTCCGCCTGAAGCTTCAGGTCCCCCAGGTCTCGGCGAACCTGACCTGGAACTTCCAACTCAGTGCCTCGAAGGAGTTCCAAGTTGGCCCATGCCTTGGCTGGGCTGAGTCCGAGTCCGAAACAAATCTTTCCACGACCTATCAGGCCTTTGCGCCTTTCCAGGAGCTGCAGGCCTGTCTCAATTCCACGAATTCCACGAACGCGACCGTCAGCGATGCCACACACACGACCACGCCGGCGCCGCGTGATACCAACGTTCTGGTTCAAGATGCCTTCCTGGCCGTGTACCTGCTGGGGTCCGAATCCAGACGCTCGCAGAGTGGGTCATCCCGGTGACACTCCAGGCTTGCCCCAGCGGTTACAAGTCTGTGGCCGTCGGCTGCCTCCCAAGCCTGGCCCACGCTCTGCCACGGCTTCCCAGCCCAGCTTCCAGACTTCCCTTCCGGAGAGCTCCATGCTTCGACTGAGCTTCGAGGCAGATCTCCCGACAGTCGCGGAGAACATCTCGCTGGGCTTTCGCGCTCGTCTTGGTTCGGATGAGGGCCAAACGGATTGCAAGGCTTGGAACCAGACCGGGCAAGGTCGATTCGTTCTGGAGCTGAGCGTCGCCGAGCTCGACGACTGCAAGTTGAACGTTTCGACCACGGCAGACTACGTGGCTTGGAGTGGAGTGGCCACGCTGGCCCTTCTGGGGGACTTCTATGACAAACCGGTCGCCTTGTGGATCTTCCCAGTGACCTTCCGCTTCGACCGCCTCATGCACGCCTTCTCCTCCCTCGAAGCGGCGGGCCACCGGGAGGTGGTGGCGGAGGAGGAGGTGATCTACGCCGGAGCCCTGAACACTACGCTGGCCTTGTACGAGTCCGACTTCACTGCCCCTAAGCAGCAGGCCGTCTACTTTGTCTGGGAGCGGGCCTTCGTGGAGCTTGGGCTGGGCCCAGTGTCCGTGGTTGCGAACGTGGACCTGGTGTGGCTCGCGGCATCCAGCGATGCCTCAGCGCCGATAGTCACCACCTCAGACCTCACAGCAGCTTGGGATTTTTGCGGCCAGGAGCGACACGCGCGAAACGCTTCTAAGGTCCACAACCTCACGGATTCCATGATCTACCTTGCGGCTTCGCCGTCGAGCCGGCGCTTCAGTGTGCAGCTGGAGGCAAGGGGACATGAGCAAGGATAAAGAGATCATGCTGATCATATCTGATCATGGTGATCACCCGCGTGTGCCAGGTCTGCGATGCCTGCTTCCTGCACGTCTTGGCGACCATCGACTCCATCGGCCGCCGGCTGAGCGAGAGGCGGCTGAAGGTGCCCCAGAAACTCTTCGAAAGC